CCAGTGGTGGCAGGGGGGTTTACTGGTTCCTGCAAAGGGGTGGTAGAGCTGGTGGGCCTCTGCTGGCATCAGTCACCCTATGGCCAAGTGTAGCAGCTGAGAACATAGTTCCCAGGCTAGGGCAAGGAGCTGTGATCTGTGTGCAGGCAGGCACAGAGCGATTGCTGATGCGTAACCTTTCAGATCAACTGAATCTATTGTTCAGCTGTTCCATTAGTTCTGGGTTAATCTGTTTTTTAGAGTAAGAAAAGCGTAGTTACAAAGTGCACGGAATTGGGAACATTTGAAATTCCAAAATGAAGAAGAAACTTGACAGCAAAGTCCTTACCATCCCTTTCCCCAAACACTTGTGTGTTGAAAGCTTGTGCATTGGGTAACACATTCCAACAACCTGCTCAAGGAATGAGTTTCTGAGGCATGTTCTGCACAGTGGAACAGCCATCAGAGCACTAACTCATTTTGGACAGAAGTCAATCTGAAATGCTCATCTGGAATGGCCTTGTCCCAAGCCTTCTGGCCAGATTGTTTATCAGTAGTGGAAGGTTCTTGGCTTTGGTGTTGCCCAGTGACATCCCTAAATGCTGTGGGGCCAGACCCTGGTACCCAGGCACAACATGAATGAAACATGGGCTGGAGAGAGTATAAAATAAGCCCCCAGCTCCAGCCAGGCAGGCTGGGATGGGGCAGAGGGGCAGCCACCTCAGTCAGAGGTGTTTTCAGTCGCTAGCCTTGCCCAGACTGCCCTCCTCATGGTTATGGGCTCTGCTGGGAACCCGTCAGAGCCTGACAGTGCGTGTGTACGTCCCTTTTTCACCCTAACCCTTCCCAAGTGCAGGAGCGTGCTTGGGGTTGCACTGCGTCACACACAGCTTAGGACTGGTGTGTCAGCATGAAGCCAAATCTGCCTTGGCCCTCAGGTAGCCTCTCCCTCCCCTCCTCTTATTCTTCTCACCAACTTCAGTGGCTAAGATGGATTGCATTCCCTGGGATCAGGAACATGGGAACTTCTAGTTCAAGATGTCCCTGCGCATTGCAGGGGGGTTGGACTAGATGACCTCTGAAAGTCCCTTCCAACCCAAACTATTATATGAATCTATGATTCCTTACTCCATCCTCAGAGGCGGGGGGCTCAGAAGACACAAAAAAGGGCAGATCTGGCTTCCCGCTTAGCCTAAAGTGTTTGCGAGCAGAAGTAATAACCCTGTAGGGATACATGTAGCAATAACGTGTTGTTCTCCTTCAAATGGTAGGGCAGGACTGGGAAATTACTAGAAATATTTTTGCTTCCCCAGGGAAAGGTGGC